TATATATAAAAGAAAATTCTTTCACATCGCGTTCCTCAATACTCATCGGTGAATTATTGGCTCTGGTGAGTCAACATCTCAGCCAGCTAATTGCTATTTATTATGATGCATGCTAATGGTATTGTATACTCTATATATGTATGTGCGTGTGTGTTCAAGGAACCACTACTTCCCCGTGCGAAACATCGAGTCTTGTTTCCGAGAGTGCGGAGATATTTCCCTTGTTTGAGAGATGGCAATGGTCCTGGATTCATTTGTTTCAAGATACATTGAACAAGTGACGAGCTTTGTTGAGGGAGAGATATGCAAAGTGCTGGGCGTGAAGAAGGAGATCAAGACGCTGCAGGAGAAGCTGGAGATGATCAAATGTTACCTCGAAAGTGCAGAGCGGAAAAGCCGTGGGGATCCCGGCATCGAGGCCTGGGTGAGGAAGCTGAAAGCCATCATGTACGATGCCGACGACATCATCGATCTGTGCATGATGGAAGGTGGCAAACTGTTGGAGGCTCGGGGATCGGCTTCGGCTTCGGGGGTAAGCTTCGCTTTCAGCTTTGTTTCTTCTTGCTTTCGGTGTACCAAACACCGCCATGAGATTGCGGGTGAAATCGAAGCCATTAATGGTAGACTGAAACAAATAGCTGAGGATACCTCCATCCTTAGTAATCTACAGTCTTCTGGTAGTCACCAACCCCAACCCGAAAAACCAACTGTACTTGAGACGACTTCCTTGGAAGTCGAGGAGGACATCGTAGGGGGACAAATCGATGTAGATGCCGATACTCTAATCAATGCCATGCTAGAGGACACCAAACAAAAATGTCGTATTTTTGGGATTGTTGGAATGGGCGGAATCGGGAAGTCCACTCTGGCACGTAAAATATTCAATGATGAAAGGATGAGAGTCAATTTTCCCATTCAGAAATGGTTGTATATCTCTAAGAATTATTCGGAGACGAAGTTACTCGGAGAGTTAATTCGGTGCGCATCTAACAAATCTGAAGGAGGTGAAGCCAAACAAGAATCTTTCGAGGGACAAAGCAAATCAGAATTGGAAAACAAACTTGCCTCTCTCCTCACCAAAAATTTATTTCTCGTGTTGGATGATGTCTGGAGTACAAATTTATGGAACGATTTCCTCAGGAAACCACTAAGTAAAGCAGTAGGTTGCACGATCTTAGTCACCACGAGGAAAGAAACTGTGTTAAAAGGTATGAAACCCAGCTATACCCACCCGGTGGAGAAAATGGATGTTAATAGTGGATGGATGTTGCTTCGAAATTTGGTATTTGGAGCTGAGGAGGAGGATGACGAGCGTAGGTTGCAAGAAGTAGGCAAGAAAATTGTTAGAAAATGTGATGGTCTTCCCCTTGCCATCAAAGCTATCGCAGGTGTTCTTGTTTGTAATGATAGGAGCATAGGGAAGTGGGAAGAAGTCCTCGAAAGTGATGCATGGAATATGAACCAGATCGACGATGAAGTACCGGGGGCTTTGAATTTGAGCTATGTGGATTTACCATCTCATCTGAAACAATGTTTTCTGTACTGTTCTTTGCACCCCCAGAAAAGTGATATGTATTACAAGGAAATCATTCGGTTTTGGGTAGCTGAAGGCCTTATCGCACAACAAGGAAATAGGCTGTTGGAAGATATAGCCGAGGAATATTACCATGAATTAATTTGGAGGAATCTTCTACAAGTGGACGCAGGTACCTTAGGCCAGAAAAACTTCTCTATGCATGACCATTTACGATCTCTCGGTGCATGTTTGATGAAGGAAGAAGGAAAATTAATTAGACATGGTCAAAAATTAGATGTTAGAGCCAATGCAAAGATCCGTCGGTTGTCAGTGTCTAAAATGGGGAGTAAATTGGTACTGCCAGATCAAATTATGCAAGACAAGTGTCTGAGAACCTTAATTGTTATTGATTCCCCTCGAACCAAGATAATCGAGGATAATGTACTCAGAATGTTACCACATCTTCGAGTGCTGGATCTGTCTTATACATCGATCAAGAGACTTCCAGATTGTATCGGAGATCTGTTGCAGTTGAGGTATATAGATTTGGATGAGACAAATATTTATGAGATACCAGAATCTATAGGACGCCTTGCAAACCTCCAAACTCTGAACCTCTATAATTGCGCATATTTGCACAGACTTCCTAACGCGATCACCAGACTGCACAGTCTACGATGTCTTGATATTGAAAATGTTCCTCTGACTCATGTACCCAAGGGAATCGGAAAACTGATGGATCTTAATCATCTCGAAGGATTTGTGATCGGCCACAATGATCCAACGAACGAGTTGCATGAGGAGGGATGTGACCTAGAGGAGCTGCAAGCTCTTTCTAAGCTCAGATGTCTGAGAATATATGGGCTAGAGAGGGCAGTAACAGGGGTCTCGGTACTTGTGGATAAAACTCTTCTCAGGGAGCTGACTTTATGTTGGATGCCTCCAGAAGAAGATGGTGATGATGAGGAAGAAGATGGTGATGGTGGAGATGACAACAACTCTGAGAATGATGGAGGTGAGGACGAGAACAACAATGACGATGACGACGATGATGATGATAATGATGATGATGATGATGATGACGACGACAACGATGGTGATGAGGATGATGACAATGATGACGATGATGATGATGACGACGACGGTGATGATGATGATGATGATGATGGGGAGGAGGAGGAGGAGGAGGAGGAAGGAAATGAGGAGGATAACAAAGATGAGGATGAGGGCCAAGGAGTGACATGGACCGAGGAGCAGTTCCAGGCAGTTGAGAAGGTATGCGATGAACTCTCTCCCCCATCCAGCATGCAAGATCTTATCTTTCAACGATTCCCCGGTCGGCAACTCCCATGCTGGTTGATGTCAAACTCACTAGACAAATCCTTCCCTAATCTGGCATATTTGAGGTTTTGGTACCTCAAATCATGCACGGAACTGCCTCCTCTAGGCATGTTGCCCCTGCTAAAACATCTTGACATCACCGGCGGTGAAGCCATCAAAACCATTGGGCCTGAGTTTCTGGGCCGCAAGTTCCCTGGAGCTTCCGCATTTCCAAAACTTGAACATCTGGAGTTTGACGAAATGCCCAACTGGGAAGAATGGTCAGTCTGGGGGATGGAAGAAAATGGAAAGGGACCGCACCTCAAGCTCTTTCCTAATCTGAAGATATGCAAGATCATAGACTGTCCAAAACTGAGAGCTCTTCCAGAAGGCCTATCCCATGCTACCAAGTTGAAGGAATTGTATCTTGATAGTACTCAAGACTTGAGAGAAATCACAAACCTCCGGTTGAATTACAAGCTCGAGGTCAAAGATAACACGATGTTGAATAGAATATCCAACCTTTCCATGAAGTATCTGAAGGTGGAAGATTGTCCGAATCTGGAGTACGTGGAGAATCTCGACAGGTTGCAACAGCTGGTCCTGATATGTCCACGACAAATGAAGCAACTTCCGCAGTGGCTGTCAACCCTAATTCAGCAGCGCCAAAGCATTCCTTCTGCTCAGTGGAGCTTCAGAAAACTGGAACTGCAATGCAACACCGTGCTGCTGAAGAGCTGTCTCGAGGGCAACGAGAATTGGCATATCATTCAACAGATTCCAGATGTCATAATTCAAACCTATTCCAGGAAAAGTTATATTCGATACAGCAAGCATCCACGCATGTACGATGCAAAAGTATGATGAATTCGTCGTTCCGGTAAGTTCATTTTCCATTTTCTTTTCTATCTATCCCATGACTGTATATACATATATGTGTATTTGTTTTCATGTACGTTGACTTTCTCCGTTGGTACAGGATCAATAAAAGGCCTCTGCCTGGTTATTCTACTTATAGATATTTTGAGAATAAAGAAGCTATTTGGAGCAGGGATTCGATGATGTCGTCCTACTATCAAGACTGTATGCTTGTTTGTTTCCTTCTACGTAACTTACTTGTGTATTTGCACCTACGAAATAATTTATCTTTCCCAAGGAATTTAGAACAAATGATGCGGTCATGTAAATAGTATGAAGGCGTTGTCCATAGGCAGTAGCTCAGCATGAAGATGTTGTCACTGATCCATATACGGAGATGGCACAGGGAGATGATTGACAAGAATCTACGGACAGATTTTCGTGCCTCATCGCAAGTACATTATTCTTCCCTTTTCTCATGTTGGTTGCTTTTAGCTGCTTATATTTTTAGGTTTTATTACTACATAAAGTTCTCGATGTTTCTCTTCTTCAAATGCTTCCTTTGGCAGGTCATAAAGGGCTGAATCCAAAGCTAGGTTCTCGTTCAACGTGAAGGCTGCATCCTCTTCGAGGCAAAAAAGTAATCCAACAGACATCTAATTGGTCATTGTGGCTACAACTTCACAGCATTCTTCACTTTCTGTTCTTCCATCTTTGTGGAGCCTCCCGGTCATATATGGGGAATTATTTGCATGCATGAAGACTTTAGCAGTACGGTGCGAGAGAGCCCGTGTGTATACAGAAGATGGAGCTACATTGGATGTTGCATGACCTCTAGTTTGATTTGTGTTCAGATTGTTCCTTGTTATATTTGATCAGAATAATATTTTTTATTGGAAGCTTTGCATCGTCGCCTCTTACGACTGTTGTTGACAGGTTCGAGAGAATGAGAACCCCTTGTACGAGTTTGTGTCCATTGTGTAACAACACTCTATTTATTGGGTTGGTATTATTAATTTTCTTTTAATAGCGGCTGACACGCAGGTTTTGGTCTCACTTCCTTCTCCTCAGTTGTGTAAAGGTGATCTAAAAGGTCATTATGGTATATTAGAAGGAAAAAAGGAAAACCGAAACCAGAATCACAGAAATCACAGAAAAAAATGAATATTTTCTTTAAAATATCTTATTTTAATCAACATAACTGTTGATTGCGGGGGCATAGTTCATATGGATGTTCGATAACCTACACTCAATAAACTTAGTAGTGCCATAGGAGACGCATGCTATATCCTTCAGCAGCACAATCTTGTAATCCTCTCCCATATTCTGTGGATTCATCGGCAGGATGTCAAGTTTCGCTAGCTGTTTCCAATATTTCGTCATGCGATTCCACCAACCCCC